TTCTCGGCCGCGAGGTGCAGATATCCGGGCGGAATACCCCTGGCATTCAAGCTGCCAGTCGTAGTGATCGAGCGGATACGGTGAGGTTTGGTATTTTCAATTGCCCAACTTCATGTGATGAAAATGATGGCGCCGAAAGCATAGGGTGAGTTAAGTCGGATAGCTCAAAAGTCGACACCTATTCTTTCACCAGAGGCAGAACCCACAATCATTATATTTATCTAAGCAGCTCTTAGTGGGAGTAGTAAACTGCAATCAATAATCCTGTACAAGTTTCACGTCAGAAAGTAGCAGACGGACGTCAGAAAGTAGCAGAAGGTAGCGGCGGTGGAGCACAAGGTTGCTTAAGTGACTTCAGTCACGGTGATAGATGTCTTGCCTGCTGTCTTGCTCGTTTACATGCTCTTTCTCTACCCTATCCACATTGAGTCTTTATCTTCAGCTAGGACACAAGTAGGGCCTTATTTTGTGTGTTTTCGACGGTTTCTTCTCCTATTCTCCCTCACGGAGAAGTCAAGTAGCACGTACACTGTGGCTTCCAACCCAGCTCTCACTAAATGATCGCTGGTTTATCGCGAAGTCTGCTTTCAATTGAACTTTGATTCAACTTTGACTTCAATGTAACTCAACGAGGCATCAGGTAGCCAATGAACGCCAATGTGTGTCACCCAATCAGATAAGATTTTTGTGGTCAATTAGAGAACAGTATAAGTATTTAACAGTAATTACACATCGCTCCAACTGTTTTACCTCTTCCTTCTCCTTCAGCACTCGTCCTTCGAGTGCAGTTTGGACAACAGGTACGTGTGGGCTGGACATCGTCGTCATATCAGAATCTTCTGCGGCCTCCGTCGTGGAAATAGATTCGTTTTGTGTCTCCAGCAGTGGTATAATGCTGTCGTTAGTGGGTGGAATGACGGGTACCACAGGCACGACCTGGAAAACGCAACAATGGCTTCGGAACGAACATAATTTCCACGATATGAAATCACTGAACTGGAATGACAACTTTCGAGTTTCGATGCGAGTCATGAGCGTAGAACTTTTGTTTCAAATGTAGTAAAGTAAAATCCACCGTCAGACACAAAGGGGAGGGGCGCATTTTGCACCTTCGCTTGTTCCTTTTGCTAGTTCCCGTTATTTTACAGGCTTGACTAAGGTGGAAATTCCCGTGAAGCAGCCAAATGGAGAAAGAGAGCCGTTTTGGTTACAAGGATTCACAGTATGTAACACAAGTGCTCCCGCTCCGAAACTGCACAAAAAGGTATTAAAACAAATAATGGTTGCAATAGTCCCAGACAACAAGCCCTAGACATAAACCTATGAAAATCGGTGTATCTCTTACCAAACAGGTGATTCACGAGCTTGTTCCTTCGTTACCTCGTCATCCATACTGAACGATGGCAGCCACTGCTAAGCGTCATAGATCTAATGATGCTTCAATTAATTTCAGCCTATACTTTCAGCCTGAAAAAAAAACTGCGGGTTGCGAAAAGGGAGCGTGGCGGGCAGCATTTCAGGTCATGGAGCCGTACTGCTTTTCCAGGGGAAAGCCTAAATGATTTTCCAGCTGGAGTACGAGATAAACTCTGAATGTGCACTAATCTTCCAGCTTCGAAGGACCTTTTTGGTATTCCCTTTTTTGCAGTTCAGTGTTATTGTGCACATATAGTCCAGTAGCTTTCTAGCTGTAAGGTCCATCTCTCAGTATAGTCTTGTGTTATCGAATAAGATTTTTGTGGTCAAATGCGCGTTCTGGCACACTGCCCTCAGGGCACTGTAAACAATAAGAAGTGAGGAAAAGCAGTGCACGAAAGTGAAAGCCATGAGCCATCTGGTCCGGCCCTAGTTACGAAACACCGAGGCTAAGAGTCATGGCCTTTAGCGTAAATCTGAGTGCAGTAGAAGTACGCGCGATTAAGCCTGCGCGCATGAGAACTACATAGAGATGCTTTTTCATGGAAAGGCGCAAATGGGACCCAGAGTGTGGAGGAGATGGAGGAGAAAGTTACCTCTACATTTCGACTGCCATGGGACATTATACTGACTGTACTTCAAACAGAAATGCTGCTTCGAAAAAAATCAGACTTTTTCAGAAAGAAATTCAGTCGAACACAAACCTCTTCAGGCAATGGCTGCGAGTTGTCGTGACTCGATGGAACATTAGGCATAGGCACGACAGCTGAAATGGAAACCAATAAAATAAATTAAAAAAATGTGATGTTTGAGAAATCCATTGCATCTTGTTTCAAGGTACAAAGTTTCAAAGTTATATAGAAGGCTGAGTTAAACACCAAATCAGCGAGCAAAAAAGATTCTCCGAAGCAGGGTAAAGCATCGGAATGGCCGGAATGGCGGTGTCAATAGGACCGTGTCCGGAAGTTCGTCTTCAGTATAAAATCCTTTTTCCCCACTGTACCTACCATCTCCCCAGATTCTCCCACTCCCTATCATTTTTCCAATGTTTCAACTGTTTCAACAATTTTTCCCAAAAAAAAGATTGAGGAGATTCTCTTTATTGATCTACCAAAACCATTCGTCAGGAGAACATATTGTATAGATCTCATCCACCAAATACTCTCCAGCGACTATCACGACCTTCGAATAATGTTCCCCCAACGATGGTGTACCCTGCTCCCAACGCTGCTACACCCTGCTCTTAAAACCGTTCTACCAAGCCCTTTACCTCAGAACCTTTTCGCCCTAAATAACTTCTCGGTGGCTATCACACAGAGGAAGGAACTCACTGGTGTTTTTGTCTGCATGTGTTGTGAGAACGAGTGGTTCTTCCGTCCGTAACTGAAAAAAGTGGTTTGAAAACTTCTAGAAAAAAATTTCGCTTGCTCGTAACATCCTTCTCAACAATTGCGTTTGTTTCGATATTTAATGTCTGAATGAAAAAAGTACATGTCGTAATAAGAATTGAAAGGAACCAGTTCCTAAGCTGTTTAGGTGTGAATAACTTCAATCAGTGACCTTCTAGAAAGAATTTTACGTTGTCTGTCACTTCACCCCTGTGTGAAAGTGATTCACTGCCGGTCTCACTCTGTTTGGGCGCTAATGACCTTCCTTAGAATTTCCCGATCGATCCTCGATCATGCCAGAAAAGCCCGTCGACTCGTATTCATATATGCTTCCGAAATTCGTACGCTTTGGCTATGAAGGCAAACTGAGCCCCCTCCCCCCTCCCCAGAGGGCGAAACGTCACCCAAACAAACAAATGTAGATTTTTGTAAGCACCTTCACGTTCCAATGCCAGGATGTCGGGCTGGTGAACAGGATGTTTTGCAGCTGTAAGCCAGCAAATCTCAAGAACTGCTCAGAGCACGCTGGAGGAGCTGGAGGAGGGTGACAGTCTTCGCGCTCCAATCGCCCTACCCTCAAGGAGCTTCAGTTCGTCGGTGACAAAGTCCCGCAGCGAACATACGTACCAGAAGTAGAGAAGAGCGTGAGAGAGAGCGCGAAGCAAATAGCGCGTTCGACTGTGGTTACTGCGTGTGGCTGGCCGAGCCTAACTATCCTTCGGTTTCATTGCTGGCTTTAGCAAGCTACAATAGTGTCACACTTCTACGCTACCAATCTTTCTTCCCACGCATGGCAAGAAATAGGATGTTTCTAGGTAAGCGCACAGTTCCTCTCACCGATCTGATGCATAAAAACTAGGGGGAAAAGTACTCTTGCAGTCAAAAATCAGTTAGCATCACTCAGCTAACTGATTTTATTCGTAGTTTCTATTCGAGGTTGCAGAATCGATTTCAAAGTCGTAAAATGACTGGCATGCGCGTTAAACGAGGACGTTGGAAGGTCATCCTACTGTAAACTCACTCAGTGCATATGTACTATACCAAGTAGATTTGGAGACAGTTGACGGACCTCGAAACAGTGGATGCCCCAGTTAGTATGGCACCATCGCAGTATGTGGCACCTTAAGCCACTCCGTTGCATCTGTTCTATCGCTTGGAGGTCCCTAATAACTATCGAAAGCTTGTAGAGGGAGCATCATTTATGTAAGGGCTTGTAACAGGACACATAATAATCTAAGAATCCTCTCTGATGCAGTGAATGCAACCTTACCCCCTCCCCCCCCCTCATCTTTCCGCCCGGTGAACAAGTTTGCCCTTGAGATGGTAGGTAATAGAGAGCAAAAGATGTGGACGAGCTTGGACTTCTGGGTTGAGGGGATCTGTGGTCGAGGCAATGGTGGAGAGGAATCGCTTTGAAGGACCAATTTCAACTTCTTCCAGTGCTATGAAGACAAAGTAAGACAGAGCTGGCGGTATCAAAAAAGAGTTGGGTACCCAATTCCCGTCGTTCCCCGAAGTATCAAATGAGGAAAGCATTCATGGGATTTTGAAAATTTGCTAATTTCGGCTTAGGTACAGGCTTCTACTCCATCCGGATTGGGCTCGTCCTTGAGCTTGATTCTCTGTGTCAGCTCACATCACCGGCCTTGGACTTGGGCTTGAACTTCATGGGTACCTAGCCTCCCCTTCTTATACCATCTCTGTGCTGGTGCTCGCAGCCTTCAAAACCCCGTTTTCTCAAGGACTCCACATCGAACCCTGCAATTTCATGAAATGGTGTGCGAACCCTAAACATCGCACCCCACACGTAGTCTTTGTCTGCCCGCTAAAATTTCCGTTCCGCCGAATCAATGAGGTGTTCACTTTGAGATTTCTTTTGCAACGTAGAAACTCGCTCATAAATCGCTGTCGACTCGATGTCGCTTTGTAACGACCTGACATGAAAGGTCGTCGACAGACACTGTCGAAGAATCCAATTTCCAGTACAGATTTTGTAAACAGAGAAGGCAGACGAAGACGCAGGAACCCTACCATGAGACGTACTGTTGGAAGGGAACGGCACATTCCATCAGAAATTGGCCCAATGTAAACACACTGATATTTTAAACTGAAAAAAATTGCTTTCTATCGAGAGCGATATATTTGAATACCGTGGTTGTAAGTGGCAGAAGGACTTTTCACATATTTTAAATCGCCATAATTTATCCCTTTGTTGCGGAAGGGCAGAAATAGTGGCAACATTTTGGAGCCGTAATGTCCTAAAGTAGCCTCCAGTAAAGTAT